CTCTGTGACTCATCAATGTTTTCCCTCGAACTGCACAGCACAGCACTGCACAGCTGAGGCTCCCCGTCTTCTTCGGCCAGGGCCTCTTTGGCCAGGAGCTTCCGAAGGCGCCCGAGCCGGAGCCCGAGCCGCCAAAGCCAGAGATGCGCCTAGGAGCCGGAGATGGTGGGGTGTTTTTCTGATCCAAACAAAATCCCTTCAAAATCTTAAAACAAACATGTGACAGTTCCCTTTAACCAAAACATAAACTTCCAGTTCTAATGAATGAATGCTTCTATAGGTTAGTCCCAAGCAGCATAGGCTTGCGCTCTCCTTACATATCAGCATGACTTGGATAGAGAGATGCACTGCAAGCAGTTGGTGGTTGGTGGTTCCATCGCACCCGATGCGCAACACAAAGTTTACCCAATGATGAACACACTGGACTTTCTGTTGAGTTTGCTCGTAGGTTTCTTTGGATTTTCTGAAATGGTGCCGGAGGCTGATTGAAAAGAACCTACAAGAGCTAGCAAAGTCTTGGGTTACATACCTCGTGCCTAAATGATTTGCAAACACATTTTTGTTTGCTAAGAAGATGTACTTGCAAACGGGAGCTTCATGTTTGATGTGGGAGGAGTCACTGATGAGCTGTTTGATCCGCAAAAGAGACGGCAGCGGGTTTTTCAAACAGAAGCAGCCGCTGCAGCTACAGCTGACCAGAGGCTGGGCTGGGGTTTGAGAACCTGCCCCAGTGATCATGTTCTTTTCAGCTCAGATTGCTGGATACCTTACAGATTGAGAGAACCTGAATACCATTTGCAAGAAGCACCAGTCCCCACTATGGACCACGCAGATTTTCTCCAGTTGAAGCCTACCATGGGTTGATTTGAGCAGACTAGAAGTCCTTCCCCATTGTTCACCCTTGTTCTTCCCCTGCTTCAGAGGCAAGGGGTACTCCGCATACATGCTGGCAACGCTCAACCGTGCAGAATATGAAGTGAAAGAACTAATAGATCAAGAGTCCAATGAGTGAAATCACTCTTTCCACGCAGAAGAATAAGTGATTGAGTATTCTGTCAACGTTGGCAATGTCTCATTTTGAGTTATATAGATCCCTGAAGAGCTGAGGGTCGAGGAGGCTGCGGAGGCTGTGGAGGCTGCAACTGCAGAAGAGCCCTCTGGTGAGCAGCGAGGCTCTGCCTGGGAACGCCTCAAGGAGAGGAGTTGAGTTTGATTGAGCAGTGCATGTTGAACCCGCCCCCACAATGACTGGAGGTTGATCAAGGGCGTGACGGCGGTGCAGTTTGAGTGTTGGTCAGCTAGTTTGGTCGTGTGGCCAACCTGTTTCGCCTCCTCAGGAGGGCCTTTGACAAGAGGATCGAACGAGCTCTTTGTTTGGCGAGCAGCCCACGTTCTGAAGCAGTTTAAACTGCTGGTGCATTTTTTCCATTGGAGCACTGGGGCCTTTTTAGAAGGAGGGATGGACCACTCGGATTTCTTTCCGCTGCCTGAGACCTCCTAATCCCAGTTTGTGCAGCTCTCTCTCTTCAAAGCAATGTGCTCTCTTTCAAGAGAACAGCTTCAATTCAGCAGCTGCTATGAACACTGGGTGTATGCTTGCCAAGCTGGCTGTCACAACTCTATCAGGGTGTCTCAAGATAGGCTCCACTGAAGTTTCAAAAATCCCTCAAACGCCTGAACTGTGCACGGGGGGGCGAGCCAAACGACGAGAGCCCGCACTCTCAAGTTGTTGGGCGCCGCCCAAAGCTCAGACGGACCAAAAGCACGGCTCTGTGTTTTTGCTGGTCAATTGCCCTTTTTGACTTGATTTGATGAACAGCTTTTTGACACGGTCCCAAACACGGAAAATTCGGTGAGAGAACCACACCTGAATGAACAGAACTAGAGCTCGACCCAGAGGGACCCAAGATTGGTTTCCTTCCGCGAGACTTTCGGGCTCAAGTTGTGTGACTTGAGCAACGCGAAGTTTTTCTTTCACCATTAAAGCTTCTTGCCTGCACGACTCCGCTGTGTTGACAAGTTAAATTTCCTTAAACACCGAGGAACCAAATGAAATGAAGTGGGAGCTATTCTGCGTCCAGTAGCCAGGAGCGTGTTGAGTACCTTACTTGGGGGGCAGGCCACGGGCTAATTTAAAACACTCACTCACAGACTCTCTAAGCAAGTAATGAGCCAGGTTTGATAAACCATAAGCTTTATAAGACCTCGAAAACCTCTCAGGCTGGCTAGACCTGACGAGCCTGATTGTCCTGTTGGCCTTCGCAGCCGCGACATGGACGCTTTTTGTTACATGAGCGAACAAGTTTTCACGGCTGGCTTCTCTCTAACTTTGGCGGGACAGGCGTGCCCTTTATGGATCAAACTGTAACCTATCGTCCGCCGACATCGATGATCCACCACTGTACTTAAGCTCACAGGTAAGGAGATGGCATCAAAGGGTGCTGTTGCACGAGCAACTTTGAAGGGCAGATCGCGCATGCATCAACTTCAGGTCAAGTCAAAAGCTTTGTCCATGTCCTGTGGTGACGGACTTGCAGCTTCCCTTTGGCAGCAACTTGGCACCAAGGATGTCAGGCAGTGTGACAAATGGTTTTGCATGGAATTTCACTGTGGTCACAAAAAGGTTCGCACATCACAAGGCTGGTCTCACGATATCATAATGCAAGCAGTGACACGGTGCCGATGTTCCCTCCCAATAACAGGCATCGGGAATTACTGTAAATGGAATCAATATGCTTAATATACAATTCTGAGAAACTTTGTTAAGTTTCCCTAAAAATCTAGGAACCAAATGAGTAGTGCGAACGTCCCAAGGCGGCGGCGGGGGGAGCTTCCTTGAAGAAGCGTAGCTTACTTGTAGCTACTAGCTACCTCTCCCTTACTCAAAAAAGTAGGCGCCTCAATTAAGTAGGGAGGGGGGGGGAGCGGAACAAACAAAATCATCTTGACCGGGATTCTGTTGGTCGCTTGAGGTGGGCTTTCCCACCTCCGTCTGCACGGTTCAGGATGGCCAATGCCGCACGTCGCCTTGCGGTGCAATTGCAGCAGCTCCAGCCATCTAGGGGTACCTTGAACGAAAGATGGTTGTGGTGGTGGTGGTGGTGGTGGTGGTGGTGTGGTGGTGGTGGTAATTGTTTTTTTTGATCAGTTCGCATCACAGGTTTTGACTGAACCTTCCTGTTGTCCAGTGATTTCCCGGCTGTGAGCAGCTCACAGCTCCAAGCCAGATGGTCTATTGAAACACTGTCTTCTGTTCGGCTGGGTGGGTGAAGCAGTGGAACTTGCCACCGCCACCTTTCAGAGGGCCTTTGCCGCGAAGGTCACCAGAACACCTCGATAGAAAAGTCAGTCCCTTCTAGAAATGTGAAAATCCGTCAACCTGGCTCCAAGGTGGCTTGCTGGCAGCGTGCTTCGCGGGCAGTGCCGTGCTTCTGTCATGTTTATGGCACAGTGCTTTGCCCCAGGGAAAATACTGTCAATTGGTTCCAAGATCCCAGGCATACTTTGATCTGGCGGCGGGGTTGACATTCGTGGATTTCCAATAGCAAGAGGATGTGCAATCACAAGCAAAGGGAATCGCATACTTGTGAAACTAAGGTGTTGATCCAATTGGTATAGTAGTCAATGGTTTCATGCACAAGATGAAAGAGATGCCGACAGTTTTAAGGGTTTCGAGCTTCGCTCAGGCCATCCTGACATCCGCATCCGTCACTGTGCAGAGCCGAGATTAATGATTCAGAGTGCAGTTTCCCTAAACATCTAGGAACCAAAATCATTAGTGCAAGCGCTTTTTCGAGGAAGCTCCCCCCGCCCTCGGGTGGGGGGAGCTTCCTGGAAGAAGCGCGAGCTACCCTGCGTCCACTTGGTAGTAGCTTGAGTAGCTAGTAGCGTACTCCCGTAGTCACTCAGTTTAGTAGGCACCTTCTTAATTAAGTAGAGAGGCGGGGCCTCCGGCTAAAATGACAAGTATGTTGCAGTTTCAGTCACTCACATGGGCCTCTTGCAGCAGGAGCTTCTCAACCGTGCATTCAATAGATGCTGAGGCATTGACTGGGCCCAAATACCGTGGCTTGGCGATCGAGAGTGCCCGGCCTCTTGCAGCGACGAATCGATACTCTCGAGCTCAAACATGGGCCCTTGGAAGACAGGTTTTCGTATGGCTCCGCATGAGGTATGGCACCTGCGAGTCCTACAAGTTTACACATTTATTCAAATTTACAAAGATCAACTTTGCATCATAGAGATGCTTTTGCAGCAGCTTTCTGCCGCTTCAAGGTGTCATCTCAGTTTCCGGTGACGGAAACTGCCTCTTTCGTTCCGTTGCACAAGGCGCCTGGGGTGAAGATGACATTGCAGTCACTTCCAAGTCTCGTGGAGGACACCTACGTATCAATATGATTTAGAGCTGATCCAGTTGAGTCTAAGACTACACCAACGGATATATAATTAGAAGAGATTTGTCGCTTCTTTGTGTTTGCTCATTTGACCCGAAAAGCAGCCAAACTGGGTATCTGAACAATGCACGAGCCACTCTGATTTGGCTCAATTTGCGCAGCCATTCTGAAGCTGAATCTTTCGAGAAATGAGATATCAATTCACGCCTCCCTCTAAAAGTAATACCGGAAGTGGGCCAGTAAACACAAATGCAGGGTCCAAACACACACCCACACACCCACACACCCATACACCCACACACCCACACCCACACACCCCCGCACTCACCCACACACACACACACCCACATGCACACACCCACGCACGGACACATATCAGATATCATATGACTCCAACCGTTTGAGCCGGATTTCCCTTTTGACTCTTTCTTTAGTGTACTTGTATATAGAGCCACGGTCCCTCGAAGCAGCATAGACATAGACTTTTGAAGAAACTTACAAGAACATCTATCCCATCTTGCAGAGACTGACTTTCAACGTCAATGCTTTGGGGCCCAAGCCGCCATTGGTCCAACCTCTTGAGGCTTTGTTTTGAGGCTTTGAGCCATGACATTGGATGTGCCTTTGGGACTGGCCTCGGCTTCACGGCAATGTGTTGCCGCTGAGGCACGGGAGGCACGGTTTCCGCTTCTTTGTTGCACAGTTTGGATACTCTCAGACACTTAGTCGCGCCAGTTTGTGCAACATGTTGCAATTCCTTGCGTTGAAAGCTCTTCGGGAAGTCGCATTGGTTCTAATTATTCCATGCTGTTTGAGAACTGTTGACGACACGCAACATGTTCAACATGCACACATTCCAGCTATTCCATTGGTTTACAATGATTTTTATATGGGCAACCTCTCTCCCATATAGCGAGACCTATTGGCAGAGCTGTTGGGGTTCCGACTTCAAGTATAGGAAGAGTTGCTTCCGTTGCAGGGAGTTGCTGTGTGTGGTAGTGTGCGATTTGGAGCCTGAGCGCTGGCACCGTTTCAGGGGATGCTTTTTGGAGGCTGGGTGCTGGTGCCGCAGCAAGGTGCTGCTGCCAGATGTTGATGGCCGTGTGCGTGTTTGGAGCCTTGCTGGTGCCGCTGCGAGATGTCTAAGTTATATGGCCGTGTGTGCCTTGGAGCTTGAATACGATGCCACTGCAAATTGTTGCCGCGTTGCTGCGTTGCTGATTCCTGTCGGTTGTACGCTTTGCAGCCTGGGTGCTCGGGACCGCTGGAGGTTGCTGCTGCCAGATGTCAATCGCAGTGTGCGCCTTGGGGGGCTGGGTAGTTCATGTGCCTGCGTGCTGCTTGTGTGCGTTGCTGCTGCTTCCACACTGAAATTGGAATTGGAATGGTTTGATGCAAAGCTCAAACTTTCTGGCCATCGGTAGAAAACCTGTAAATGCTGTGACCCTGTCGCATCGGGCCATTACTTGCGGATTAGCTCTTTTCGGGCCACCTGATGTGACTAAAGTTGGTGAGAGTACCAGATAGGTCAGACATGTTTGGATACTCGATCGGCATGTTTTGCACACGCAGTCCTTGGAGGTTTGAGCTTGGCGAAAGACACGAAAAGACACTGCAGGCCACAAGAAATTGTTTACATACTAGTTGCGCTATGTTATATATATATATAACTATTTACATAAATATAGTTAAATTAGTTTAGGCATAAACAAGAAGAACAAAGAGATTAACAAAGGAAGGTAAGGCAGTAAGGCCCTCTTTAAAGTCTAAAAGAACACATCACCTGTTTTTTTCAATTTCTTTTTGTCATTTTGGGACCCACCCCACTAGCCAGATGCTTGAGACGGCCGCTCCACCAGGTGCCGAGAGTCTACCTGTGGAGCTCAGAGTCTTTGCGTGGAGCTCAGAGGGGTTCTTTGGGTCGAGAACTGAGTCTTAGCTCGTAGATAATGCAACAGCTTGGAATGAGCTCTTTTGGATCTTTTCCAAACATTTTCTGCCTGTCACTTGGACGGACCTCCAGATTTGGAGGTCCTTGAGCAGTGCGTCAAGGAGGAACAGGAGGTTCGGGCAGGCGCACTAGCCAACCGCAGGTGTCATCTTTGTGCTTGGCATTTTGCTGTTAAAAAACGGGGAAACAACTTTTGGGACCCTTCTGCCATCAAGCCCGTTGATACTAATAGTATTACATACTATTACTAGAGGGTTAAAGTTTATGGTATGCTGCATAATAGGTTTTTCATCTGGAAAGTGATCAAGTTCTGGACTTTTCGTCCAAAACAAAGTGATCTCCATTGCATTCCTTTGTTCACGCACCACGGCAGGTCTCATGGACAATCCCGGCCATGGGTTTCTTGCTGAGAAGCTCCAGGTGAGATCGGGATGGGCAGATCTCGCTGGATTCAGTGACCAATTCAGTGGAGAATGGACACCAGCTTTGAGTGAGTCTGACAAAGCACTTGGCAAAATACATTACAGTACTTAAAACATTTGAACATCATTTCAGTGAATCTTCCACTTCAGCCTGATCCCGAAAAGCCTTTTTGCAGCACTCGGAGCTGCACGACAGGCGCAGGAAAGAACCTCGGGTGTTGCGGCGGTGCAAAGGACTGAATCACTCACAAGACCATGTGCAAAAGGTAAATGTTGGCTCAGCAACCGAATTCTATCAACGGCAGTTTTTAACGATGCTTGACATGCAGTGAGTTAACCAACAACCTGTTTTGGTTTGTTTTTTTATTGTGGCCAGATTGCTTGGTCTGGCTCATTTCAGGGCCGACCCAATAATGTACAATGTTTGACAATCAACACTGCTCAACCAACAACAGCATTTTCAGAACCGCTTTTGTTCATTTGGACAGTACTAAGACGAATGAGAAAGTATTAGTCCTTTCTATCAACAAACATGCTTTAAAGTCCTTTAAAGCAGGAAGGCCGTTTCCATTTGGAACTGGGGCGGGTCCAGAGGACACGGCCGACGCTCGATGATGGGAGCCGCACTGGCACTCTCCGCGGGCACAGAAGCGAAGGCTTCTTGACAAATGAGTTTGGGAATACACTCTTAAGTTTCCATCCCAACAGCAAAAGGAACCTAATAACGATGGTCTCCAACCTAGAAGCGATGGCCTCCAACCTAGAAGCGTTGAAAAATGAGTTTGGGAATCATTAGCGATGAGAATGCTACACTGCTCACCACAAATCTTGGATGACCTTGGACGTCACTGCTTCATGCTGTAAGACACAAGATTGCCTTTTTTCCTCAAGCATGCTACCAACCTCGTTGAATTTTTAGGCCTTGGGATCCTTGTTCCAGTTCTTTTTTCCAATGCTACAACTCCTGGTCAGTGTGGGTGCTTTTGCAACTCTTCTTGCTGCTTCATCCACCCCATGGATCCCTATCTTCGTCTTTGTGGACAGCCAAACCTAAGGCTGCAGAGGAGGGCGATTATGAGACCTAGCCGCAACCGAGCTTTTGTCAGAGACATGTGCCACTTTGGGTGCTGATGCCCCACTGCGGACAACCAGTGGGTTCTGTAGCAGAACTCTGTTTGGACTGACTAATAATGGGCTCATGACTCATGTCTGTAAACATTGGCTATACTGTACGATCTTTGAACATATTGACCAAAGTTCCGGAGACCAAGACGTGCAAAGGACGGCTGCGGGGGGCCACCTCACCACCCGACCCGCATCCACGAGCTTTTCGTTCAAGAGAGAGCGGTTCCGGCGGTGCGCGGGGCGGTGCCTCGGTGTCAGGTCTACCCGGAGTGGCTCACGCTTCCTTTGGCGCCGTATGCCCGCAGGAGGACTTTGCTGAAGGAGATCGTCCCCAATGAGGCAGCTTGGTTAGGCAGGGGGGTGAGTCATGCTTCGGAATGTGGGCTGCAACACTGCAACACTCACAGATGTCAATGTCCACCTCCTATTAATAACCCCCCTTGATCAAGCGCGGGCCCTAAATAATGTGAAATCCAGGCAAATCCTAGAAAATCTTGATTTGAATTGACGATGAAAGGAAAGGAAAGGACAGGAAATTAAAGGAAAGGAAAAGACATGAAAGGAAAAATGAAAGGAAAGGAAAAGACACTGAAAGGACAATGAAAGGAAAAGGAAGGAAATTGAAAGGACAATCAAGGTCTGGAAGCAGCTGGAAATTAGGGTCCAGAATGCTCTTGAAGACTTTGACATTATAAAACCCTGGTTTGGCTGTGCGCAAATGCCCCAAGTGCTGAGGTATGGACTCTGGATCAGATTTTCGGCACGTTTTATGTCTATGTGCCCATCCGGGCTACGGTGCTCAAGGCTTTGGATTTGGATGATTGGAGCGTGTGTCAAAACCCCTGAGATCCTGGGTTTGGACCCCAAAAATGTACTGTATATATATATATATATATGATGTATATATTGCAATGAGTGCTGTCGACGAAAACCATGTTTGAGGAGCAACGAACATATGTCGACACGCTCCAGCTTTTGGTTCAAGGGCAACCTTACCCCCCTGTCACCCCAATGTGGGTGGCAGGGGGAGTGAACCGCGAAGCCTGGCATGGCTTCAAGTTCCGTCAGGGGATGCTGCTCGAGGGAGCCATCCGCGACGATGACGGAAAGGCCCAAGGGACGGTGATCCTCGAGGTGTTGGACAGCCTCAGCACCGATGCCAAAGGGCATTGGATCCATGGGCGCTACGTGGCGGCTAGTGACCCGCATATGCGGTGGTGGATGTCAGAGGGAGCCGGGAAAGGGCTCGCCAAGAAGTGCGCCTACCACTGCTGTGAGGTCCCGAGCATCGATTGCCCAGTGAGTCGCCGAGGGGCCGCCATTCACCTCGAGCGATTCAGAGCGCTCACCCAGAAGGAGATTGAAAGAAAAGTGCCGTCGTGGGCCTTCGAGAAAGAAGCGGGAGAGTCCTTTCTGAAGTACCTGAAAGGGCGCAAGATGGAGCCCGAGAAAGAAGAAGCAGCGGGCGCTTTACCCTGGGTGGACCCAGGTGGTGAGGACAGTGAAGAGGAAGGGAGCGAGTCTGGTGAGGACAGCTCAGGAGATAAAGGGCTGCGGGCCAAGCTCCTCGAAGCCAAGCATGAAGTTGGAAAGTTGGAAAAGGAGCTTCTGGCAATGAAGAGCCTCAAGAAGGCCGCCAAGAAGAAGCTAAAGAAAAAGAAGCCAAAGAAGGCTCATGACAAGGAAGAAAAGGAGGCCCGCGCCTCGGAGGAAAAGACGGGCGGCAAGAAGTCCAAGGAGAAGAAGCGGAAGCCTTCACCCTCCTCAGGAGGTGTAAAGAAGAAGAGGAAGACCACTGGCTCCAGCAAGAAGAAGGAAGCCAAGGAGGCCAAGGACAAGAGGAAGACGATGTCTGATACCTCCAGTGAAGAAGACCTGGAGTCGGGAGAAGGGCTCTTCGGGGCCGACCCAGTCAAGGGAAGGCCTGCGTCTGGGGCCAACGCGCGGAAGGACCGTGGTCCGTTTGGAGGCGGAGACATCGTGAGGTATCGGGGGGAGTCCAGCAGTGAGTCAGAGGGAGTTTTTCGCGAAGCCCCCACAGCTCCAAAGGCATCGAATCAGCTCAAGCTGATTCAGTGTTCGAAGAAGACGCCGGGCCGTCTCGCATCAAGGCTGTTGCTGTAGGAGGGGTGGGGGCGAGCCCCGCGGAAGTCGGCGAGATGACTCCCCCGGCCGCGGTGCATTATTTCCACACCATGATCGTACCTCAGCTGGGGCAGAAGCTCACCTTTCGGGCGCACAGGGAGCTCAGGACACTTTGCACAGTCCTGGACCTTCTAGCAAGGAAGCAGCCCGCCCATGCCGCAGATCTGGTGGGCCAGAGAGTGAAAGCAATAGAGAAGAGCTGCCACGACGGTCACTGGGCAGCAGCCCAGTACCTCGAGCTGTTGGGCCCCGACGGGGGCGGTCTCCTGGAGCGGGACGAGGAAGTGTTCATGAACAGGGAGCATCTCCTCGGCCTCAAGCTGAAGGGGTGGCAGCCTCCGAGAGGGGACAAAGACGGAAAAGGTCACAGGGAGAAAGGAGGAAAGAAAGGGAAGGACAAGGGAAAAGGAAAAGGAGAAAGCAAAGACAAGGACAAGAAGGACTAGTAGCAGAGGAGAAGAAAGAAGCTTCACCGGAGCCGAAGGGCTCTTGGACTGGAAGGCATTCCTGGGAGAAAGGAGGTCACCGGTCGACGTCCTAGCGGGGCTGTGGGACATGATGCTTGCAAAAGACACGCCATGTTGTCGCCTGGCGCAAAGTTCTGTTGCCAAAGGGGTGCCTCCCGAGGGTTCTTCCTCAAAGAATTTGCGGGGCGACGACCTGCTTCCCAATGCATCAGTCCTGTCGCGGTCGAGCGGTACCTCAAGGAGAAACACCCCAGGATTGCCCGAGGAGTGACCTGCATGGTGAACGCCTTGAACTTCTTGGCAAGGGCCCAAGCCCGGGGGCTGGACGAACCTGGAGTTTCCCAAGGAGCTCACAAGGGCTCAGAAACTTACTGTGGAGCACCTGTGCAGAGCCCTGTGCTATGTCGAGGCTTCGGGGTTGAAGTGTGAGGCCTTTGAGGATGCAGCCCAAAAGTTGGCGGCAGCTCGGTTTGACTACCAGGGCGAGCCGGTGATGCCCATGGAAGACATCGTAGCCGAGAGAGTGATTGCTGCCTGGCCAAAAGTGGGCCAAGCAGCGGTGCAGGAAGCTGTGGAGTTTCTCCCGGAGCCCCTCCGACGCAAGCTGTGTGATCCGGAGTCCTGCTTGAAGCCAGCGCAAGATTGGCCAGTCAAGCCCCCACACTCGAAGGTGAGAGCCTCGGATGAGGAGTGGGCAAAAGTGGTTCGGGCTGCCTACGAAAGAGGGCTCATGGTGGCTGTAGAGCAAGATGAGGTCTTCAAGGATAAGGATGGTCACCCGGTGCTTAATGGTGCCGGAGCAGTGAAGAAGGAAAAGAAGGTGGATGGAGTTGTCCATAGGGTGCAGCGCTTCATCAGCAACCTGATCCCAGCCAACTTTTACCAAGAGCGGATTGATGGTGATGACAAGCTGCTGCCGTACCTGGGCCAGCTGACCCTCCTGGAACAAGAAGAGGAGGAGGTGTGGCTGATTGATTCGGAAGACTTCACCAGCTGCTTTAACCTCTTCCGGCTGCCCCAGTGCTGGCACAAGTACATGGCGTTTGGAAAGGCTGTTGACGCCTCCCTCCTGGGTGGGGAGGCAGGAAAGATTGTCTACCCCGCCATGGCCGTGCTTCCTATGGGCTGGATCAGCAGTGTGGCGATCATCCAGAGCATTGTCAGGACATTAGTGTTCAAGGTGGCGGAGATCCCAGAGGCATCAGAAGTGGCTAAGACAAAACCCCTGCCAGAGGGAGGAGATCTGACAGTGATCTACTTGGACTCATACGACCAACTCCGAAAGTTCAACAAGAACTGTGCAGAGGTGCTGGAGGGTGTGCCGTCGGACAGACACGAAAGGTTCTTGGCCGCCTGCAGGGAATTGAAACTGCCACTGAATGAGGGTAAAAGGCTTGTGGCTACAGTGCATGGAGCCCTCCAAGGAGGCGAACTGGACGGAGATTTGGGCCGTTACCGGCTGGCACTGGATAAGATGCTGAACATCCTTACCCTTGGTTCCACCTTGTTGGCCAAGGAGAAGTGGACTGAAGCAGAGATTCGTCACTTTGTGGGGAAGGCTACATTCGGCTGCTGTTTCAGAAGACCCCTCTTTGCAGTGTTCGAATCGCTTTTCACGGAGATACAGGACAGAGCTGCAAACCAGGACAGAGCTGCGCCTCGGCCTGAGAGTTGGGATGAGGTTGCCATGGTTATGGCGCTGACTCCGCTCATGTATACGAATCTCAGGGCCCGCATCGACCAAGAGGTTTCAATGGTGGAGTTGCCACGGCCGTCGAGTTCTGGGATGCACCGTGCACCATTGCACGAGATCCGACGGTCTGTGCTCAATGCGGAGCTGACGTCCCGGAGCATGACCAGTACCCATGCCCTGCCATCTGCGGGGCCACTCTCTGCTCTCTCTCCTGTGTCCTGACCCATCGGGAGGGAGCGGAAGTGTGCCCAAGGTGATGACATCTTCACTGATGAACGCTGAGGGACCTGATGAACGACCCATGTCTGGCTGTCGAACACTGGGCACCCGAATGCAAGCTCTTCAGCAGAGCCCGGGGACGGCCGATCAAGCTTCGCAACGGTCGCGCGATTGCTGGCCCGCAGCCGGTCCGGGACGCTAACCGCGTCATGGGCTATGCGTGGTTGTCGAGCGAAATGAAAGCTAGAGTCCGACAGTCTAACCAAATGGTGCTCAGGGCTCTCAAAAGAGGCAAGGAGGACCGGAGAGGAAAGAAGTGCTACTGGTCAGTGGAGCACCCACGACGCTCATGGATGTGGGAGTTTAAGCTCGTCAAAGACATGGAAGAATGGCCAGAAATGAAGTACTCAGTGGGGTCCCATTGCTGCTTCGGCGGAGAGCGGGAAAAGTGGTTCGCAGTGCTCAGCGATCTCCCCACGCTGAGGTGGCACCTTTCCCGAGACTGCCTGGGCCATGAAGGTTTGAGGAGCTATGAAGTAGAAGAAATGCCAGACGGCACGCTGCGTTACCCCACGGAGGAGGAGGCTGAATACCCGTGGGAGATGTGTAAAGCTTACGCCCAGGCTGTCAAGGAGCAGCTGGAGGCAGATGGACACTTCGATGCAGCTGTCTTGGAGGCTCGGCAAGCGCACTACTTGGAGGAGTTGGCCATGTCCACAGACAGGTTGGCGCATCCTGAAGTGGCAGGGCCAGTGGCTGGGCTGCTGGCATCAATGGAGCAGTCAATGATGAAGGGGCAGGAGAAGGAGCACCTGCGCTACCTCCTCCGGCAAGCAACTTACCGAGGTTCAGATGTCCGACTGTCCCTCGAGCTGCCCGACGGGCAGGTGCATGAATTACCCTACCTGGCCATGAGGTGGAAGTGGCGCACCTCCATGGCCTATGCATGGCGGCAAGAAGCTCATATCAATGAACTTGAGCTCTTGGCAGTGGCTGTATTCCTCAAGCGCAGAGCGCGGACTAGCACGAAGCAACACCAGAGGTTCTTCCACGTGCTGGATTCGATGGTTACCAGGGGCGTCCTTGCAAAGGGTCGCAGCAGTTCCAGGAGGCTCAATAGGGTGGCACGAAGGTGCAGTGCCTACCTTCTTGCGATGGACGACTACATCTTTCTGCTTTGGACCATCAGCGCATGGAACTTTGCGGACAAGCCAAGCCGAGCACATGAAGGGAAGTAAACGAGGCCTGAAGTTTGCAGGCCTGCACCCACGCACCCTACG